TTGACAAATCTTTATTGAGACCAGGAAGCTAAACCAAAAGAAGGAAAAATTTCCAAGTGCAGACTGCCTCTTGTCTATCCCAGTGAAAGAGAGAGTGGCATGCTGCCCAGGGATTTTCTTGGTACTTTCCCCAGGCAAACACACAACACTTCTGTAGACTGAAGAAGTGGGATGGAAATCTGTTACTCTCCGCTTTGCTTTCTTATTGAAACCACCTGTACCCTAGGTAGGGGGGAAAAAGTAATTACTACTAGAGCAAAAAAGGTAGGTGGTTAAGGATATCCAGGCTGCCACAGGATTGCAGAAAGTGGGGTGGTGTGGGGAGGGAGTGGTCATTCAAGGTAGGACATTAGGATGTCCTAATATTTTCTTTATGTGGTGAGAGGAAACCAGCAAAGACATAAAGTAAAAGCTATCTAGAATGGTGTTCCTAAGGTAGAGGTTGCTCTAACTTTGGCCTCTCAGATTTGAGGACTGAGAATCACAGTGGAACTGGATTTGAATATTTACTCTAAATGCAATGCCTCCCCCAGAGCCTGGTGAATTTTATAGAAAACTTACCAAAATGTAATTGAAAAGTAACTGCTTTCATTGTGAAATTAATTTTACACTTAAAAATGCGTAAAAAATAGATGAACAAGTGGCTTTAAAGTTCAGGGTGTTAATATTTGTAATTGGTCCAATTTAATTAGCTGAATCTCAGAGACTTTCTTTTTTCTCTGGTATCACTGATCTAATTCCAGTTATCTTCTTGATTATGAAATTAGAATTAAAGATTATTTATTTATATGAACCAGTACTTCTCAGCATTCAATCTTATTTCAGAAGCTAGTATGTATATATGTGGAATTTACTCAGCAGCTCCTCTTAGTGACATTTGTATGATCTAATTCAAGGACCTGAAGTGAAGGCTCCTCATGATTTACTTGCATATGATGTAGCTATTTTTAATGCCACATTTACATTTTTAAAAACAAGAATGCTCCTTTTTGATGAAATAGACATTCATTTTTAACTCACAGACTCAAGAAATAAAGAATAAGAAATTTCCTTAGAAACTAAACCTATTCTTTTTATACTACAGAAAAAGAATTGCATACAAAAGATTTAGTCATTTTTAACAAAGGGTCAGTCAGTAATAGAACAAACCATAAAACTCCATGGAGTCTCAGCTCAAACCTCTGATTTGTCCCAGATTTCAAAACAAAGATGAGCTTTACGTTGCCAACTTGCCAGCATGTGTACTTTTAAAGGTCACAGGTTAGCCACTTCAGATATCTAATTTCTGCTTAGTATGTTTCATCTTTTCTTTCCCTCTTTATGTACTTATTTTTAATCTTTTAGATACTTTTATAAATACTTCATTGATGAGAAAGTGTCTGAAGTACTCAAAGCAACACTCAGAATTAATGCTAGTTACTCATATTTCTATAGTATCTATGGCTAGGCAAGTGTCAGCCCTGTCAATTATGCTAATAGAATTCTCTTTTTCATCTATCAGGCACAGTAGTGGAAACTAACTTCCAACCCGGAATGGCTAATTATGCTTCCTTTAGTTCTTTAGAAATTAAAGATACTGTGATCCTCATAATAAAATACTTGACTTTTTTTATTAAGACTGGTAAAAACCTAGTAAAAATGTATTTAGTGGATTGAAATGAAAGACTTTGGCTTTGGGATTAAAGTATTTCTTGTATCTCTGTATTTAAAAGATCATTGTAGGGGTTTGGGAAAGGCAGCTCAGTGGTAGAGCATGCACTTAGCATGTACAAGAATGCTCCTGGGATATATTTTATATATCCATGGATTCAATCCCAGCATCTCCCCCCAAAAAGTTGAGACTTATGGTTTCTTGTGTTTTAACAAGAGTGCCAAGGCCTTTCAGTGGGAGAATAACAACTCTTTCAACAAATGAGGCTGGACCACCTGGATAGCCTCATACGAAGGAATCAACCTGGACCTACCTCATAACATACAGGGGCCGGGGAGATGGCTCAGTAAAATAAGCACTTCCCTGGCAAGCGCAAGGGCCTGAGTTCAATTCTGCCAAAAAAAAAAAAAAAAAAAAGAGTTCGTGTCATACAAAAGTAACTCAGTGTAGATCAAAGATCAAATGTACTGCTTAGGCAGAACGCAGCAGCCAGGGTTTGATCCTTGGTGTGCTGTGCTGGCCCCACCCCTGAGGCAGACTGAGACAGTGATTGAGACTGGACATGGTGGTGGGCGCCTATAATCCGAGCATTTGGGAGGCTGAAAACAGGAGAATCACTACAAGTCTGATCTATGTAGTGAGACCCTGTAGACCCTGTACTAAATACATAAAAAAAAAAAAAAAAATCAAATGTAAACAGTAAAATTATAAAGCTCTTGAAAATAGATGAAAATCTTTATGACCTTGAATTGCTTAGCTGCAGCACCAAAAGTAAGTTTAAGAAACAAAGGAAAAATATAAGTTAAGTAGACTTCATCAAAAGGAAAGTTGCTAGGTGTCAAAGGATACTATCACCTAAGTAGTAAGAACTTATTGACTGTAACAATCTTCCCATAAGCACATGAAACTTTGAAAGATTCCTTTATCCTTTCCACAAGAGAAATGAAACATAAGAAGCAATCCTTGGTGCAAAGCTCCAATTCCTACCTCATGTATGTGAGATGAGCAGGATCACCATAGATCACCATAGTCTTTAGCCATATACAAACAATAGTTTTGTGTGTTAGCTGCTTCATTATCTGCTATCAGCCTGCAGAAGAGCAAGGCTTACAGAAAGATGTTCCTTCCAGAGGAAATAGTACTAAAATCATCCTGTGTCAAGACAGAAAACTATTCCAATAAATACACTTTGGATATTTTTTAAAGAGAAAATGGAAATAAAAAACATTTACAAAAACATTTACACAAAAAAACTGCAAATCATATATGTGATAAGGACTTTAGTTTCTAGAAAATTCTTACAACTTAACAATAAAAGGACAGCCCAGTTTAAAAACTGGGCTAAAGATTTGAATAGATACTTTCCTAAAGGCTTATAAATGGCCAGTGAACTAGATGTTTAATGACAGGATCCTTTACAGCATGAGTCATTAGGGAAATGCAAGTTACAACCACAGTTTGGTACCCCTTTATGCCCTCAAGGTAGCTATGATTTTAAAAGTGGACTCTAAGAAGAGTTAGAGAGGATATGGCAAATTGAAATCATTGTCCATTGCTAGTGGAGATGTGAAATGGTACAGCTACTATGGAAACATGCTAGAAGTCCCTCAAAAAATCAGACATAAAATAACCTTATGATCCAGCAGTTCTACTTTTAGGCACATATCTGAAAGAACTGTGAGCATGTGTGTTCATTTAGAACCATGTACACAAATGTTCATTGTAGCTTTATTCATAATGGCCAAAAAGTAGAAGCAACCCATGTGTCCATCAGCTGAGAAATAGGTAAGCAAAATGTTGTATATCAATACAATGGAATATTATTCAGCCATATAGAGGAATCAATTACTGTTACAGCTACAACTTGGGTAAATCTGAAAAATATTATTTTGTGTAAAAGAAGCCATACTGGCTAAATATTGTATGATTCTATTTATAAGCTATGTCAAGAAAAAGCAGATCCACAGAGAAAGAAACAGATTACTACTGGTTGCTAGGAGATGGGAGAAGAGAAAAAGAATTGGTACTTTTAATGGGTTCAGAGTTTCTTTTTGATGTAAAGATTCTGAAACTAGCCAACAATAATAGTTGCAGAACAGTGAATATATTAAAAAGTACTAAAGTATACACTTTAAAATTAACTTTTTTATATGAATTATGTATCAATTAAAAATACTAAAAAGTTTTTGAAAGAAGTATTGTGTACCCAAAATTAAAATGAAAGATGTTATATGTTAAAGACAGATCTTGTTTGTTTGGTTGGTTGGTTTTGTTGTTGTTTGTTGCTAGGAATGGAACTCAGGGCCTTGTGCTTGCCAGATAGGCAGCTGTGCTGCTGAGCTACAACCCTGGCCCAAGACTGAGATTATGAACGATTTCCAAAAAGGTGGAATAATTTGGTAACTCTATAACCAATAAAAAAGTAAAGATAAAAGTCTGTGTTGTGGTTTTTGTGCTGGAGAAAAGTCAGAGTGATCGAGTAACTCTCTGCATACAGCCAAGGGATGTGATTGGTGGATATGTTGTTGTACACACTGAGATTTTAGAACCAAATTAACTCCCCTGAGCTAATCACCTGTATTTCAGAAACAGCAGGGAAGTTAGAAAACTAGTATGTAGTGAGGAAGGGTAAGACTAAAAGGATGTGATTTTTCTTTTGTAACGTCGTCTTAACAGCAGTTCTCCCTAGATTTTGTGCTAAAATAAGAGCATTTTCACACATTTTAATTGCTCTATGATAACAACAGTGTGAACTCCATCCCAAACATTTATTATCTGTTTAATTTTGCCCTAATTTCAGTGTAGCAAGAATTCACCTTATAAATGGCAATAACTGTCCATTTAGTAAAACAAAATCCTTTCCTACATTGCTAATTGTGTTACATGTTTGCATAATAAAGTATTAATAACAGAATGCCCTTTTATATTTCTCAATTTGTAGGTTACATAAATTTTATTCTCAAAATAGCATTTTTATGAGCTAGAATCCTCTTTTATAAATTGGAACATTAGTTAAGAATATTTAAAAATTGAGCCTTGACATGGTGGCGCACGCCTATACTCCCAGTGCTTGGGAGGCTGAAAACAGGAGAGTAACTATGAATCTGATCTACATAGTGAGACCCTGTAGATCCTGTCCTAAATACATAAAAAAAATTAAAAAGAATATTGAATAATAGATTTCATCATATTTTTATCAGGATTTTAGATAAAATGTGGCTTTATAAACTTTTATAGTACTTGGTGCTATAATGTTAATATAAAACCTTATAGAACTATCTCTAAGATACATTTTTAAATTAAATTTATGTAACTTAGTATCTACCAAATTGTTCTGATTGTCTTTCAGACCTGTCATTTACTACGTCCTTCATAGTAATGCTAAAGGACAAAGAGGAATGGATAAAAATATTGGTGAGCAACTCAATAAAGCATATGAAGCCTTTCGTCAGGCATGCATGGATAGAGATACTGCAGTGAAAGAATTACAGCAAAAGGTATGTGGTTCTTTTAAAAGTTGCTATCTAATGTAGTAAATAGGAGTTGAGAGAGCCTTTGCAACTTGAATCATGTTATAGTGTTTAAGGGCCAGGGAAATAGCTCAGTAAAATAAGCGCTTAAGGGCCTGAATACTCGGTTCTACAAAAAAAAAAAAAAAAAAAAAGATACAGTGTTAAAAACATGAGAATTGCAGTTACTGAAGCACACAGATATATTAATGGGTAAGATTTGAGGTTCTTATTTGGCCTTTTAAAAAAAAATAATGTGTAGGAAGAGTTGATTTTATGGAATCATTTTAGACTTTTGTATTTAAGAAAGATAAGAAAAAACAAAAAAAGAGAAGAATGATATTTTTATATACAACTTTAATATCAGTGTTTACTTTGTATATAGGAGGAAATAAATGTAAAAGCAATTAGTCTTATGACAGACTGAAAAAACCTCTGAGCTAATTTGTTTTTTGGTTCTTATTTTGTTATTTGGCAAGATTGAAGGTCTTAAAATATCTTAAAACTAAATTTGTTATTACCTTATAATATTGTCTCCCATTATTTGTGACAATTTCAGTGAGCTCTATATGACTTACTAAAAGTTTCAGCTTTTAAAAATGATCTTTGTTTCTTCTAATGGTGTTTGTAAGTAGGATATCATGTCTGCATCTTGTACAGCAATTAACCACTAGGAAGAATGTATGTATACAGTGTGTTAATTATTGAAACTGTCCTACCAGTTTGGTTTGAAACTGTCTCATTGCTATTTGTTTCTCAATAAATTTATGGAAAAAAAATTATCTTTGTATACATAACATTTCTGTTTAGTATTTTCAATGCCTGTAAAATGAAAGTAAGTTGAAAGACAACAATTACTGAATCTAGTAGTTCCTAAACACATGTCTTTTACTGGTCTCTGATAAGGCCTTTATTGATCTGCAGCAAAATGAGAAACATAAGGATAATGCATGAATTTCTCATGCTATCAACTTTATTCCATTTAAAATTCTGTCCTCTACTCAGATGTTATGCCCCATGTTTTCCTATTATTATAGATCAGAATTGATTACCATACACATTTGTAAAATGATGAAAAGGTTGTTTCTTTGTTTAATATCATTACTTGATAATGTTGCATAGGTCCCCTCCTACACATTCTATAATTCTCCTCCCACACATTCTGTAATTCTTGACAACTGACAGGACTCAGCATACAAACACACTCATAGCTAGGATTTATAACAGTGCCATGGTAAACATACATAAGCAGATCAGTCATGGGAAAAGACATCAGGAGACTGTAGAGGAATCTATTTTTAGTCTTCTGAAGCTGGACTTTTATTCCAGCTTCATAAATTCTGTCACATACACGGAGAACTGAAGAAACTCCATTTAAGAGTGAAAGTTTTGGGTTTTGTGTATTTTTTTTATTACATCAAAAGCTGGTTTCATAGGTATCCTGTGTCAACCAAAGTTTCAGGCTTAGAAGAAAAACAGATTCATCCTAATTCTCATTGTACAGTCTAAATAGGATGGCACAGTTATAACCTTATCACCTAGGAAATATTTTCAAAAGTCAAGTTCCTAAAATCTATCCAGGGACAAAGTTGACAAATAGGCCTTCCTGAAGATAGCCTGAGCCCGACAGGATTAAATTATTCTTGCACTGGCATTTGAAAATAGAGGATCTTTGTGATTCTCCTCTTGGTTTATAAAATACTTCATTATTTTGTTAATAACTGGGCTTGTGGGCTATGAGACTTCATTAGAGATGGGTAAGAGGAGGAAGAAGGCCAAGAAATGACAAAGCTTTTAAAATTACTAAATTTAGAATTTCAATTTCTTTTTATTTCCAGTTCAGATTTAAGGCTTAATCACTTTTGTTTTAAAAAGAAACTAAATAAAAATAACTCCTAGCTTTTATTCTATTTTGTACTTGGGTTCATTAAAACCTTGACAGTTTGTTATGGAAAGTTTAGGAAACAAAGTTAGAAAAGTAGATCGCTGAGATGTTCTCAGGTTAAAGCAGAAACAGGAATTCCTTTAAACTCCTGTTCTTTCTCTGGGATGACTGGTAATCAGTAATTCAACACATTATCTGCATGAGCCTTTGTTCATAATAGCATGTATCCCCCAAAGAAAAGAAAAAGAAAAATTTTCTGTATTTAGTTTTCTAAGTTGGTATCTGTCAAGAATGATGAAGATAAATGCCATCTATTCTTCTCTACTAAATGGCATATCTGAATAGATTTATCTTAAGAAACGTTTATCAAATTCCTAGTACATACTGGGCCTTTCTTTTTTGTGGAACCAGGGATTGAACTCAGACCCTTGCACTTGCCTGGGAATGTACTGGGCCTTTGATGAAGTTTTTAGAACAGTAAAAACATCACTTATCTCTTAACGCGGTGACCACAGAGTAAAATTCTCCACAGTATGTCATAGTCACTCAGTAGTGCTATATTTTTCTGAGGAGATAACAATATTAAAAAAAAAAAAAAAATCACTTACACCATTAAGGAACTTTTAAAAGAAATAAATTATTTTATTATATAATGAAAGATATAATGATCAGTAGTTAATATGGTAGTAAAGATTAGTGGGTCAGGTTATAAGCTCAATATGAGTTGGTATTTTGGTTGTGATTAGAGTTTAGTGAAATAGAGAAGGGTCCTACAAGGGAGCAGTATGTATTAAAAACTAAGATAAAACAGAGTGTATGGCACATTGAATGTACTATAAAGTGATGCTGTGGCTCCAAAAAGAATGACAGCAACAAGGCTGGGGAGATAGCTCAACAGTCTAAGCGCTTGTCTGCAAGTATAAGGACCTGGGTTCGATTCCTGGTACTCCATGCCATGCTGGCCCCAGAACTCTGGGCACGTCATGCCGGCCACCAAAACCAGGCATGGTAGCGCATGCCTATAATCCCAGCCCTGGGGAGGCTGAGACAGGAGCATCACTATGAGTCGAGCTGCGATTTTTTTTTTCTTTTTTGTATTTTAGTACAGGGTGTTACTACATAGATTGTACTCATAGTGATCCACCTGTGTTCAGCCTCCCAAGAGCTGGGATTACAGGCATGCACCACCACGTCCTGTCTCAATCACTAAATCAGCATGCTCGGGGGTGGGGCCAGTGGCTACTCCGTCTGCCGAAGCAGGCTGAGCTGTGAAATTTTTAATAGCATTTCCTAGTTATACTGTGTAAGTTAAAGTAATATGTGAAGGATAGATGGGATGATGTGGTAAAAGGCAAGGAAGAAGATGAATCACTTGGCCCCTAGAAACTTGAAACAAAGATGAAGCAGTTCAGAGGCACAGGAACAAGAACATTAAAGAATGCTAATATTTTAAAGAATATTCATCCAAGAGGGAATCATGAAGGAAACAAAAATACTCTAAAAAGTAAGAAACAAATTAGAGCATAATATGATAGAAGCCATTAGAGAAGAGATTAAAGAAGAATATGGTAGTTAGTAGTACCAGATATCCAAGAGATTTGGTAAGATGACAGCCGATAAATAAACATTACATTTGGCCATGTGGAGGTTATGATGAGAATAGTTAGAGCAGTGGGGAGGATATATTATAGTAGGCTGAAAAGAATAGGAGAATGCATAGGTAAAGACATTGTAAGGGGACCAGAGAGATAATTCAGTGGCATAAGAGCCTGCCTGGCAAGCACAAAGTCCTGAGTTCAATCCCTGGTACCAAAAAACAAAACAAGACATTGACTATGTATAAGACACAAAGTCAAAAAGTCCAAATGTAATGTTTACTTATCAGCTGTCATCTTACCAAATATCTTGGCTATCTGGTACTACTAACTACCATATTCTTCTTTAATCTCTTCTCTAATGGTTTCTATCATATTACGCTCTAATTTGTTTCTTACCATGTAGAGTATTTTTGTTTCCTTCATGATTCCCTCTTGTATGACTATTCTTTAAAATATTAGCGTATTTCACATACCTGAGTATGTGAAGAGATATAAGGTGATTACTAGAGAGATTTTTTTTTTTTTTTTTGCTATTTTATTTCTTTTAGAATGAGTAAAATGATTTTTAAGAATAACACAGGAGGGCCAGTAAGATAGCTCAGTGGACTAAAGCACCTGCTTAGGCAAGCACAGGGACCATGGTTCCATTCTGGCATCACATGCCTCAGCAGCCCCGCCTGCAGGGTGAGCTGAGCCAGCCACATAGCGCATATGCCTATAATCTCAGAGCTGGGAAGGCTGAAAACAGGAGGATCACTATGAGTCCAAACGGCATAGTCAGACCCTGTTACTACCAAATATATTTTTAAAAATAATAATAATAATAGGAAAGAGAGGGTAGAATGTCTCAAAATATAGGAATAAGGGGCCAAGTATCCTGATGCACTCCTATAAACCTAGCACTTGGGAGCCTGAGCAGGAGGATAGCCATTAGTTTAATGCCAGCCTGGGGTACAAAAGTGAGTTTAGCGTTAGCCTAAACTACACAGTGATAGAGCCAGGGAGATAGCTCAGTGGCATAAGGTCCCGAGTTCTATGCCCAGTACCGTACCACATAAATAAATAAATAACACAATGAGGCCCTGTCTCGAAAAGACGTAAAAAGAAATAATTGGGGCCAGGGAGATAGGTCAGCAATCTGAGGGCCTGCCTGGCAAGCACAGGTTCAATCCCCGGTACCATATGCTGCACATGGCCACTGAGACTGGGCATGGTGACATATACCTGTAATCCGAGCACTGGGGAATCTGAAACAAGAGAATCACTATGAGTCTGAGCTGCATGATGAGATGCTGTACCAAATACATAAATTTAAAAAAGAATAATAATTGATGCCCTTCTGCGGTTACTTCTATATGTAACAGCCAGATAATCCTTCTTTAAAGGATTGCTTAAGTGTTAGTTATATTATTCTCCTACTCAAAATTTTGCAATGGTTTCTACACAATAAATGTAGAGTCCCTGCAATGGCCTAGTTGGGAAAGACTGAATTTGTCCCTTGCCAG